TTTCGTTTATATTCTATGGGGGCCAAGAGTCTACGTGTAAAATTTTAAATAGTTTTGTCAAAAATTGTGGGAAAAACTCAGAGTTCTAAATTTAACAAATAGAGACATATACATTATACTACTATACAAACTGTTTACGCCACCTAGAGACATATACACTATACTACTACACAAACTGTTCACGCCACCTAGAGACATATACACTATACTACTATACAAACTGTTCACGCCACCTAGAGACATATACACTATACTACTATACAAACTGTTCACGCCACCTAGAGACATATACACTATACTACTATTCAAACTGTTCACGCCACCAAGAGACATATACACTATACTACTATACAAACTGTTCACGCCACCTAGAGACATATACACTATACTACTATACAAACTGTTCACGCCACTACACATAATATCAAACGAAGGATAATCGATATTACAAATATTTCGGTTTTGAATACACCAAACTCATAATTTTTTCATATACTTTATATCTGAAAAACATTGTACTTATTAACTAACTGAAAAACATTGTACTTATTAACTAACTGAAAAACTGAGTCGAAATTATCATGTGCTGCTTGGGTCATGACCAGATCTGTTTCGGTCGCTGACTTGAGTCACTGACCTTCAGATTCTAAGATATACTTCTGACGATGTGGAGCTGTTACTGGAAACTTTATTTTTCCTCTCTAAAGAGGCACTTTCTCACAAGTATACTACACATTTATGTTATTTTTGAGCTCAACCTATCAGTGTACTTTACAACAACCATCTTGAACATCAGGGGAAAAAACACTTAAATTCACTGAAAATTAAGAGCATACAACATAAACTAAATAAATAATACAAGTTCACTCTAATGTCTTATACTGCGTTTGTATTACGGAAACATCTTTAAAACATAAGCAGCCACGTCAGAAATATAAAAATGTTTTGACTTATTAGTGTCCATATACACAAACACTACGAAAGCACACAGTGTAAATGCCGCCAAACAGCCAACAGACTTATACTGCTGATAGTAATATCGTGGGAATAGAATAAGAGGCCACTAAAAAATCTAGACAAAGTTAATTAGAATATCAATTATAACAGCAAAGCTTTATAATCTGAACAAAGCCTAATTATTTATAAATTAAGTATATATTCTATATTGATTCATTTATTATAATAAATTTTGTTGTGTTCTGCAGTAAGGAACGATGTGTTGATACATGTAGAACGTGTAAGTGATTTGGAGTATATTTTAGTAACAAATAAAATATGTAATGACAGAAGCATGTACAGCATACACGTATTTGTACACGTGAACTAATAAAATTAGACCAAACGGTTCTTATTTGTATACAGATATGTACAAATAGATTCATTTTTCTAATTTTAATAAAATTCCAACTGGAAATTAAATGACTTCCAAATATTTTTTTTACAAAAAAGTTACTTTCCTATTGTTAATATACAACGATGGACCGTGCTAATTATACCAGTAGAGGGCGCCAGTAGCGATGTGGTCCTTGTCTATTGTCTACGTCTTTGGCAGTTATGTTGATTTGAACTTAATTATTTCAGAAGAAAAAAATTAATAATCAAGGGTGCTTGAGATTAAGCTGTTCTCCTTCACCCCGCACGTGGATTAGAGATATGGGCTTGAATTAAAGTATAAAAAAACAATGATAGGTTGACTGGTTTTGATACAAACAAGCTATGTAAATATCTATGGTCTATGACAGTTATTTTGGTGTAAAGCTAATAGTCTAAACTTAATAATCATCATTATTTTATTTCAATAGCTACAATTATATCGTTTTATTCAGCAATTTAGAACAAGGTTTTTATCAACATATTCAAACTATGCTTGTTTTCATGTAACAAAACAATAGCCTGACACTGTATTATCGCTCATATTATTATTTTGTTTACCTGTCGATCAAAACGACTTTTCTGCCAGTAGTTTTAGTTCCACTGCATTTAAGATCTCTCTTAATCATCCTAAAATTCAAATTTTCACATTTCTCGCTAATCTTAGTGAAATTGGTAAAATAAACATCAGGAAAATCAGTGAAATTAATGTACAGCTCAAACAGGCTTATTGACTGACCAGGTGCTGAATTGCGAGGCAAGTTGGCTCAGTGCTGGGACTGCATCGATACTGGCGCCACCGTGCATTAGCAGTTTTGCATACGATCCCTCATTATCGGCTTATTTCCAATCGGATTTCCTGCAAACTAGTTTCGAATTGAATTCACAGTTAAGAATTAATCTTGTTGCAGTGCTTTTAGACTGTATTATTTTAACAACTACACGTGGAGATTGAGCTATAATTCTCTCATATTTAAGAGTAATTTAAATATGCTAAACACAATTATGATTTGAGTGTTTTACCAAATTTCTTTACACCTCTTTGATTACAAGATTGACTTCGTCATTTATAGACAGATCTCCAGTTAATAATAAAGTGCTTCTCAATTAAACCTGATGAATACAACTCAAATTGAACTCATTATGCATAAACTGTGATTGAAAACTTCAGGATGAAGAAAACACAAAAGTTAGATCTAAATGGACAGCTAGGCAGCGCCAAATGTTGGCTAGGAGAATTTTGAAAGTGGATCCATAAACAAAATCTCTTTAAATAAATTTCCCATCTAAAATTCTATAAACCTCAATTTTTTTATTCTGTGAGTAGTAAAATGACACTAGAGTTACCTTTATTAAGAAATATGAATATCATGATTATCAAAACATTTGTGTATTATAAATCATCTGAAGCTTAATGAGTTTCAGTGGGTAACAATACCCTCGCCCCTCGGTGGTTCAGTGGTAAGTTTACTGACTTATGACGTTAAAATACGAGGTATGATTCCACGCAGTGGACAGAATACAGATACGGGTAGCCCATTGTGTAGCTTTGCCTGACGAAGACAACAATACTCTCCAGCTGGAACTAAGAAGAAAATCAACTATTAAATATAAGATCAAATAACAAATGTGGGTCAGTTGAACTCTTAGTATTTACTAAATATTTTTCAGCTGGAAAATATAAGGCCTATACAAAGATTCCATATTAAAACCCTAAATTCCAATGTATTAGTTTGTTTTTTAACTGTTAGGACGATACAAAACATTTCATTAAATTTTTCTTCCATTTGGTTCCTTCAGTAGTTTACCTATTCGACTCCAAGCGGAACATTCAATAAGGCATGATTTACTAAAATTAGGCGAATAGGTTAGATATTAATCTCTTGCTTGCCGATGGGGCATACTTGGTATAGGACCATATGGAAATCCAATGATACGATTTGTAGGGCCTTTCTTGAATTACAAATATAATAAATCAATGAGATATTAGATTTTCGACATTTCATCAATTTTCCCTGGTTTCTGGGAATACAAAATCTCTGGTAACGAAGGGCTAATGAAATGAGGTGAATCACTGACGAATTCACTTAGAATAAAAAGAAACATAGAAAGTGTAGATTATAAGTTAAACTTGCGGTTGTGGATTGTGACTAAAATTTTATGTCTGCAGTTTGACTTCACCGAAGTGCTTTATTTTACAAATTAAATTACTGGAAAAAATACTGCCAAAAAGTCATGCAGACAGAACTTGTAATATAATGCCGATGTTCTTTTACAATATTTTTAACACGAGTCTTTGATATAAAAATGAATATTTGACTATACTGAAATTGTGAATTTTCTTATAGAATTGTGAAAACTTATGCCAATGAATGCGACTGTTTAATCTGAATTAACTTTTGTGGCACTATGACCTCTTGTTTCGAAAAATATACTAATCTAATTGTTAGACCAAGATCAGTTAAGATTTCTTTGAGAAAAGAGAAAAGATTAAAGTATGTTAGCTGCAAACAACAAATGAACGCAGCTATAAGTATAAAAGTGAATCTAATAACGAACATCCAAAAGCTGGTATACATATAAATCACAGAAAATTATGTGTATTAATCTTTTGGTCTCCTGGACAGTATGATGAAAGACACTGTAAACATTTGGAATTTCTATGTAATAGTAAAAACAACAGTTACACGGAAGGTTTTAAAACTGAATAATGTGGTATATGTTCATTATCTAGTACAATCACCACAATTATCAGCACTTAGGCTCCAACTATGAATAGCACGGAGGAGATCAAAGAACATTATATGCAGACATAGGCTCTTCTCAGAACCATCCCTGTAAACGACAAGCTCATCTTGTTGGGTGACTTTAATGCCAGAGACACCAAAGATTATACCCAGTATAACGGAATGATAGGGAAACACAGGGTCAGCAAAATGAACAGCAACGGCTTGCTTCTCTTGAGCAAATGTGCCGAGCGCGGTCTCTTGATAACTAGCACCATATTCAGGCAAGCTAATAAGTATAAGACGACGCGAATGCATCCAAGATCAAAACAATGGTATCTCATAAGCTATGTAATTATTCGCCAACCGGACATCAGAGATATTTTCATTACCAAAGCAATGCACAGTGCAGAATGTTGGATGGATCACAGACTTGTCAGAACCATGCTCAATCTACATGCTATCCCCAAGTATAATAAGTTCCCTAAACAGATCGTACTAGCTTTCAACATCGCCAAACTTCAACAACCAGAGTGTAAGCACGAGTTTCAAACTAACCTCGGTGAAAAGCTGTCTTTCTATGGACCATTGAGTGGAAGTCCAACTGAGAAGTGAAACCAGTTTAAAGAAATGGTGATGGAGACGGCCAAGTTAGTCTTTGTCCCAAAGAGGTTGGGTCCACCAAGACTGGTTCGAAGAGAATGATGAAGATATCAGTAGATTGCTGAAGGAAAAGAACAAGCCTTCACTGAATGGCAGATGAATCCAAGATCTACCTCCAAGAGTGGTAAGTTTAAGCACTATCAGGCTATGGCCCAGCGAAAACTTTGCACAATGCAGGATCGGTGATGGGAGAAGAAAGCAGATAAAGTTCAGCTTTATGCAGATACGAACAATTCCAAGATGTTCTTTAGTGCCACCAACACTGTCTATTGTCCTCTAAACTCAGGAACTGCCTCGCTGCTTTCAGCAGACGGCACCAGAATAATTAAGGAAAAAAATGGCATAAATGCAAGATGGACAGAGCACTTCAACCAACTCCTCAACCGACTATGCACAGTTGATCAAACTTCAGTGCATTATATTCTTCAGAGACCGGTCTGTGAAGATCTCGACTTACCCACAAGCGAGGAAGAAGTTATAAAAGCCATCAAGCAGACTGCTTGTGGTAGAGCACTTGACAAGGATGGAATTCCTGCAAAGCTGTACAAGTCACTTGGCACAGTGTCATTTGAGGCCTTCCATGATGTTCTGACCAGTATCTGGGAAGAGGAGGAATTGCCAACTGACTTAGGAGATGCCACCAGCGTTGCACTATATAAAGGCAAAGGTGCAAATGCCTACTGCAGCAACTACAGAGGAATCTCGCTACATTCCATCGCTGGAAAATTTATCGCTCGCATCTCTTAACAAACTTATCTGAAGTATCTCAGAAGAAAATCTACCAGAAACTCAATGCATATTTCTTCCAGATCGTAGCATTTTAGATATGATCTTCACAGTGAGAGAGGTGCAAGAAAAGTGTATATAACAGAATATGGATATCTAGGCCGTCTTTATCGATCTTATAAAGGCTTTTGACACAGTCAACAGAGAAGTTCTATGGACCGTCCTCAGAAAACTCGGCTGCTACAGAAAGGTCACCATCCTCATCCAGCTGTTTCAGATAACATGACTGGAGAAGTCCTTTCCAATGGAGAATATTCAGAAGCATTTGACATCTCAAAAGGAAGTAGGGCTATATGCTTGCACGTGTTCTGTTCAACAACCTTTTCTTCACTCAGGTTCCATTCCATGCTGTGAAGGACTTGTACCTTGGTGTCTACATCAAATATCGTCTTGATGGGTCTTTGTTCGATCTATGGCGCCTCTCTGCACGTACTAAGACTCATTCCCGAAGTATTATTTATGGATGATTGTGTCCTTATGGTGTACAAGTAAAGTCATCTGCAGACTATCGTTGAGAAGTTCTCAAGGACGTCCAACTATTTGGCTTGACAACCAACTTGGGAAAGACGGAGGTTCTTATTTAGCTAGCCACAAACATGAACTCACCACAGCCAGTCCTAGCTCTTCAGATTCTACTTGTTCTTCATCATGTTTGGTTCAACAGAGATTTGTCTTCAGAGAAAGAGTTGCCGACCCATACATTGATCCAATAGAAGGTGATTGTCCACTCGTCTAAGCAAGTACGAATGCTATTTTTTGTGTCATAACTACATATTGTTTCACTTAACATCACATGTGACCAGTCTGTTTATTTCTCCCATGTCTTAAGTAGACCTACATAACACTTATGATAAAATCAGTCCAACTGAGAAAACCACACTTTCTGCATCTGGTGCTCGATCTTGAATTGTTGTTCAATGTCTTTTTTTAATTATTAAAAGCTGTAATTTATATGCATTCAGTTGAATTGGTGCTCGTCTAAGGTGGAATTCAGAACTTTCATTACGTTTAAGATGTAGAGAATACCAATTTTATATGTTTTATTTAGTGTAATTGTTACTGGTAAAAATAGTATATTCTCCTAATATTTGTATAGTATTAAGTTCTTCCAGTTCAGATTTTCAAATGAACAAAACTCTACACTTTTTAAAAAAGATTATTCGTAACTTAAGTACTTGGTATGTTAAAAGGTATTTAGTAAATGTGACGATAAATTGATTTGATTTGCAATTAATTGTTTAGAATTAAAACATGTAAATTAGCTGCCAAAGAGCACCGCCGTAACTTCATAATTTTATTCTAATGTTTCTTAATTTGTACAGACAATGACAGATACTATGTTATTCTACCTAATTATCAAATGAAAACTCAAAAAATGTAAAATTTGAGAATTTATAGATCAAAAATTGAGTTTGATATTTTGCATTTAATGATTTACATAGTTTACTGTTCGGTTATGGGTAACTCCAAGCGGAATGGAATATCTGATATTTTTTTTTCGTCCTTCTAAGTTACTATTCTAAATTCAAGTTTAATTGTTTGTTTGTAATTAAGCATAAAGCTACTCAATAGACTATCTATGCTCTGCCCACCACAAATATCGAAACTCGGTTTTTAGCGTTGTAGGTCCGCAGACATGTCGCTGTGCCAGTTGAAGCATTTAAGCATGTTTTAAATTCAAGTAAAAAAATGCACTTATAACAAAATCACTGAATATTGGCAGCACACAAATAAGCAATTCTACACCATGATTATAAATGAAAGTAAAGAAGAGTATAATAATATATAAACCATATTATATCTGTTACACCCAGCCGACAAGGCCTTTCACCCAATACCAGGGCTCATCAGGACAGCTGCGATATGATAGTAGCGATCGATACTTTATTTATATTACCAATTTAAACGCACAAGTTGGTGAACTGTAATTTTTATATTATAACTATTACTGGAAATACGAAAAAGCACACTAAAAACTCTTACACCACATCAGTTTTATTTCACTAGGCGCCATGACGACCTGCCGCCAAATATTCGGCAAGCACAGTCATACTTTTCTTTTAATAATAGATTACCTAAGTCTGTAAATAAGAGAAGCATAGCTTTTCACTTAAGCAGACATGAAGTAGAAGACCAAAGATTTAAAACATCCTTAAGATAAATCTTGTATATGTTGTATTTGGCTTCTGGTACGTATGTTTATTAAAAAATAAATTTTAACTGTGTATACGCTGCACCAGGTATACTTTTCGTTGACCATTCTGAGCAATATTCCTGCCATCTATATAAGTTAATGAATGGCATAGTGGCAAGTCTAACAGTCTAGATTATTTAATTAGTATAAATAATCCTGCGATAAATAATTTTATCCGGTAGAATTAGAAATTGAAAATAATTTAATTTTAAATGTAGAGACACATTATTTAGATACAAAAATTAAAATAATTAATAATGACATCAATCTAAATGTTTTTGATAAAAGAAAATTTTTCTTCTCTAATATACAGCCTGTCCTCTTTTAATAGTAATATGCCATACTCTTCTGTTATAAGTACTATAACTTTACAATTACTCAGATTTTGTAAAATTTGTAACAAATTACAATATTCATTATTAATGCCGAAATATTGATGCAAAAATTAGTATTCAACGTATTAGTATTATAAAGAAACACTAAACAAAATTATTCAAATAGTTTGTGATAAATATACTAAATAAATATAAAGAAGTGAAAATTAAGGAGTTATTGCTGGAAGTTTCCGATAAGTATTTTTAATAAGGCCGTTTAAACAACTTGGCACTATTTTTATGCGGATGAACACATTACCACATATAAAAGCTCGGGTAGTGTGAAAATTGATAGTAACAGTGGACTTAATGTTTGGTAGTTGGGAGTTATACTAATTTAGATAACTTGTTTGAGCTCTTATAACTTTATACTAGTATAATTTAGCCCGGCATGGCCAGGTGGTTAAGGCACTCGACTCGCAATCTGAGGGTCGCGGGTTCCAATTCCCGTCACACCAAACATGCTCGCCCTTTCAGCCGTGGGGGCGTTATAATGTGACGGCCAATCCCACTATTCGTTGGTAAAAGAGTAGCCCAAGAGTTGGCGGTGATGACTAGCTGCCTTCCCTCTAGTCTTACACTGCTAAATTAGGGACGGCTAGCGCAGATAGCCCTCGTGTAGCTTTGCGCGAAATTCAAAAACAAACAAACTAGTATAATTTGTTTATTGTACTACAAAGTAAGTGAAATTAGTGCTTTACTACTATAATTGGGGCTGGAATATTAAACTCATGAAGTAAGTTTATCTTATCCCCCAACGGTAGTACTTTATTTCGTTTTTCTTTTACTTTGAAGAGCAGTCACCTTCCCACAACTGCCTGCTGGCAGTAAAGGGTGATATAGATGTTGAACTTTGTGGGCTTGAGCACCCACATCTTGCTCTCCTAACTTATATATATATATTGAAGAATTTATTCATCTGAGACTGGCGAACGGAAGTTAAGACTGGTAGACGATGTATCCTCATCGCAATGTGGATCCTACTTCTTCAGTCACCTCCAAAACTTAGGGCACATTTTGTACCCCCACATTATAGCTTATATTCTGGGGATCCTTTTAATTTATGCAAAGTATTTCAGTTTTTTGTGCCTATTTTGTCCATTAAAGTGTCGTTTATCATATGGATTTGCTATTTTCAACGCAGTCCTTCCTTCAGACTTTATTTTGCTTGACTGTTTAAGTATTTATATATTCATGATGTTGAAAACATCGGCTACACTGTACCGGAAATGAGATGCTTACATCAGTACATAAAGAAATAGATTAAACATTTCCTGGAAAACCGGATGACTTTCGTGACGTCACTAAAATCCCTTTATATATATCACTCATTCGATTACAACACCATTCCCAGTTTGTCCCCGAAGAAGAAGAAAGGTCCACCTTTCGAAAGCGCTCGGGTTATAGGGTTTATATTCATATAATTCAAACTGTGATTAGTTCGAAACATAAATAAAAATACAAGGTACACAAATGAAAAGTTACTTATAAATAAGCCTATTTATTTTAACTTAAAACAGAAAGAGATTAATTGAGATGTATATTAGTCTCGTAAGCATGGCTGTTCTTCTCACAGTTACCAAGGGTTAGATTGTTTTAGGGTTTTCAATTTACAAATGCTATTAAATATTTTGTAGGAATTTGTTGGACAAATCGCTTCGTCGTCTAAATTAGTTTTCCTATTAAATGAATAGACTAACACCAGTACCCTTTCTTGTAGTAGTTATCTATACCAAGCTTTATACTTATCCAAAGAAAAAAATATATGTTGGTATCGTATAGATTTGGGCGTAGGAAGCAGTTTTTAAATGAAGCATTCCCAAATAGTTATGTTTTTTGTTCAATATGATACTCGAGAGAAAACTCTTAAATAGCAAGTTAAACACGACACTTTTAAATACTTCTTAAGTATATAGCGAAAAGAAAGTATAACTGTATTTTATAGTGTTTAGCCCCCCCACAAAAACTGTTCATTTTACTTTATTTTAAAAGTGTCGTTTTAATTTTTTATTATTAATATTCTTTGTTATAGTATGGTTAATCAACCACAATACAAAAAACCCGATATGTTGAGATTTTTTTGGAAAGTATGTCGCCTTTTTCATGGTGTGAATTTTTGCCATGTTTATAGACGCTAATAGTGGAGAAGAAGAAACAATTGTCCTCTCTATAAAGCTTAGAAAAACCTGACAGCAGAATACCACTTTTATTGAGTATGTGGTATAAAGGTACAGTAGGACTGACAATTTAGTGCCAGGCCGCATATGATTAATTTTGAATTTTCACTTTAAAAAAATCCAAGAGCGTCTAGGGGCGACTCCTATAGGTGTATGATCCCTCTCCTGTCCGATTAAATCTCAAATGTTGTTGCTGATGGTACTTGTTTTCTAAGTATTACCGCAAACTGCCGATTCGAATCCCCGTCCCAACAAACATACCCGCCTTCTCAGCCGTGGGGGCATTATAATGTGACGGTCACTCATGCCATTCGTTGGTAAAAGAGTAGACCAAGAGTTGGAGGTGGGTGGTGATAACCAGCTGTCTTCCCTCTAGTCTTACACTGCTAAATTAGGGACGGCTAGCTCAGATAGCCCTCGTGTAGCGCGAAATTCAAAAACCAAACCAAACTAATATAACAATAGAATATGCATGTGTTTATTAACATTCCATATGGTACGGAGTGACATATGTGTAAGAAAATACGTTATAGATAATTAGTACATTTATTTGCTTACAACAGAATGACTTGAAAACTTCAGAGAATTTCTACGTATAATATGTTACATTTATTTCTAACTTTGCTAGGAAATGTGTGAAATCATATTCTATACACTACGGATTTATGAAAATGATCTGGCAGGTAGAAACAATACTAATCTTTTGAGTAGTTTCTTAGATTTTAGGTTGTTGTTTTCTCTCGTAAAGCAAATGGCTTGTTTATAATATTCCAAAATATGGGAGCTAATAGCGCTTTACATAAAAAAAAACAATCTTACTGTTGGTGTTTCTAATCCATTATTTCACTTCCAGGACCTTGTACTCTTCAAGTATGCATGATTCACTTTAATCTAGGCCATATTTAACGAAATATATACTCTAATGTTTATACTAAACACGCCTAATCATAACCAAGAACACGCATATTATTTCAGGGCATTGATAAGGCCTCATTGAAAAAAAAAAAAATGTTCAAAGCGAGGTTAATTAAAACAAATTCGGTTCAAGTATATATTTTCTTATCTTTCTCTTACTGTCAAAACACTGATAAAACACAAGCTCAGTTTACTTATTTTTCCTATGTTCACCGAGTGTATAAACATGAATATTATAGCCTCATGAATGCAATTTATAAACACTGAATATACGATCTTAGTGGAAAGAAGATAATTTTTATTTAAATCGGAGAGATATTAACCACGTTGTGTCCTTTAATGTAACATACAAGTTCACAGTTTGATAGGCGCCTGTTCGACTGTGAGATTTGGCTATTATCCAGATCACTGGTCGAGTGTTAGTCACACAATATACATAGAGGCAGTTTATACCACTTAACTCTTTCCAAAATGCAATTCTTAAAACTTAAATTTATTTTGATAAATTAATCGATTCTGTATTCAAACAAATATCTGTATAAGGACTAGCCACAGGACGCACATGTTTATAAAATGAACATTTTTATATACGCGATCGACATATGTTTCGGAACTAAAATTTCTACCGTCAGTGTTTGTTTGTTTCAGTGCAAACCCACACAATCTACTATATGCGCTCTGTCCACAGCGAGGAATCGAACCTTAGATTTATACCTTCAAATTCATGAAATTGCTGCTGACAAGCCGTCACTGATAAATTAGATATACGAGAAGGTTTCCGGTTATGGAAGAAATTATATCGTGTTCCTAAATTCTAGAATTTAAAGAGCATGTATTTCCCCTGTATAGGTAGCCTGACATCTACTACATGTACAAGTACAATCCATAAACTCAATAGGATGTCTTTAAAATGGGAAAATGTTCGAATACGGAAAAAAGGATTTAAAAACGACACAAACTTGGATATGGAAAAATATATATTTTGTGGTTAATAATACATTTTTCAGATTAAAACATAATCGTTCTTTACATGAGAGGTCAGCGCCTCTCGGAGAAACTCCTGGAATTGTGCCCTGTTATTCAACTTAACCGTTTGTAGAAAAGGGGCATAAACTCAGCGGGCAGTTGTCCAGCCATGTGCATTCATAATGACCCTGAAAGACGCGAGTTAGATTCTAACTAAAGGTTAACCACACAGCAATGGCCTCTTTGTTTGAATACGCTATTGCTGATAATACAAATGAAGATGGTTGAAAAGACACAAACATTGTTTACAAAAGCTTCGAACGTTTCGGAATACACTTATTCCATCTTCAGAGAGATCTGAAAATAATATTCTGTTTACTGACTCATGCTTTAGTAACTCGAATAACTAATTTACTTTTAAAAAATTAGTAAAGCTGTAAATGGAAGGAAGTACTGACTATAGAATATGTAACAGAATTACAAATTGCATGAGACATCAAATTGTAATTATAACTATTTTTAACAAATAGCTGAGTGTTAAGTGAAGCTACTTGTAATAGTTTTAGGTCTAAGGATGTTTGTACGTCATTAACAGCAGGACAGTCTTTTGCTACGAGTAAGCTCTCTTAAATGTGGAGTTCAAGGTCTGAAGATTCTGTAGTAATGATGGAGAAACCATTATATAAAATGTTGTGACCAGCATGTGAACGAATAACTGTGAAGCTGGGTTTAAGAAATAGACAGCTAATGCTTTGGATACTTTTAACCATTCATAAACTGTAGTTTTTAAAGTGAAGTATGTGCCAAAATTCCATAGGGGCACAGTGGATTGCTTAGAAAAGAGAAGGGGAGGAAGAATAATGGAATAGGATAGTGAGGGTAAGATGAAGGCATGATATTTGAACCCAAGAAAGACAAACAGAAAATACAGGATCTGACCCCCCAAGCCTGAAGAAGAGACTTCAGAGTTTGGAACTCCACGAAAGGGAACACAGCCTGATGTTAAGCCAAGTCAAATGTGTCAAACAGGCATGGAAGATGAGGCATGCCTACACCAGATCAAAGTGGAGATAAAAACTGTTGAAAAAGGACTTGAATACCCATGAGAGGGAGAGAAAAAATAAAAGTCACAAACGGGGATAAAATTAATAAGTGAAGGAGAAGAATCATACGAGACAGGAGAGAGAAAGTAACATATCTGAGAAACCATGTCCAGAAATTATAAAAAAGGCCTAGATAGATCCATGACAGAATTGGTAGAAAATTTGGCAAGGGTAGTTGATGGGAAAAGACTGTCAAAATTCCCTTCATTACAAACGGGATTAATAGGAAGAGGTAAAATAGGTTAAGAAGAATGTCCAGGCAGCATGAAAGACTCATCTTCTGTCTCACGATAGCCATCACTTCCTCAGCATAAAAAGGGAACCTCACGCCATTTTAATTGTTTGTCTTGCATGAACAGTGCCTTGTTGTCCCACACCAGACAAAGTGGAAGTTACCATCACTTGTGAATTCATAATGTGGAAATAAACGGTCACAAAGTCTGCAGGTGTAGAAATTTTTTGAAAACTAAATTCTAAATTTAATATTTTCTACAACTGCTATGTTGAAGATACTTCCACAAAAAATGCCAATATCTCAAAAGCTCATGATAAAAATAAAATATTTACATCTTTATACACGAGTGCCAAATTGAGAAGTTATGATAGAATGATTAGTACAGAGGGAGTCAGCTGTGCTAGGAGGGTGCGTCACATTCCTATTTGTGGAGGGTTGTTATATGCTCATTGGTATGTAAAAATTAGGGGGTGTGGCGATACAGCAATACGATTGTATTGATACACTGTAAATATACGATTTATATTCCTTCACAAAATTTGGCAAGCTTTCAGCAAACATTACAAGTCTTTTGTACAGAAAAAATCAGAATTTCTAATAAAGTACTTTTGCTAAAAATTGTTTTAATATATGGAGTCAAAGTAGTCACTGCTCTGAGCACAAAGCAATTTTCATGTTAAGATAAAAAATACTTTTCTCCATCTAAAAATTAACAAATTTCTTTTGTGTAATCTCTAAAATCTCCAAAATAAATTTCCAACCTTTCTTTCCCTAAATCTTCATATTTTATCTGCTATATTCATTACCCTAATTTTAGGTGAAGTTGGTCAGTTTGACCAGCCTCATAACCACCATAAAAAATACAAAATAAATCAAAATCATCCTTTTTTGCTTTCTTGAATTACTTCAAATTGTAGCAGGAAACTATATCTGCTTACACTAAATAATAAGTTCTAATTAAATTTGATTTTCAAGACTGTAAAACTTTGTAACAAACCTTTGGTAAAACTTATGTATCTAGTAAATGTCGTATCAACTACTATCATTTCAGCCCTAGTAACAATGTAGAAATATCATATGGAAAATGTGAGTTTAGGTGGGAGCCTCAAGGCTAGTGGCAAACAAAAATGTTTGCATTTGGAGGACAGCACTGAATCCGTAAAGCTGTATGTGAGGAGAGGTTATGTATTGTATTAGAATATTTTAGTTCATGAAGTCAGATTTGATAGTCCTTTCACAGAACTTGCTCTGCAACCACTTATTCTATCTATAATTTTCAAGGTCACTTATTTAAGGATGCTTCAACTTCAAACTCATAATCCTCTTCAGCAGGTACAATTCAACTATCAACGACCTAACAAAATATCTTGAGGAATCTTGGAACCAGAAAACTTTGGGAAATTAAACTTTCCACCTTATTCATGATTTACTGGTAAATACCTAGTGATATATTGTCAATAAAAGGGATTGATTCAGAATATTCAGTGAATTAATGCTGCTCCTACAACATATTTTTCTTATAGTTCTACTATTAATTGGTTTATTAATTAAAATTAATTAATCTGAATTAAATCAATTGATAATCAAAATAAACAAAGAATGAAATATGTAATTAATACTTGAAACCGTTGGTATTTGAGGAACTTCTTAAATACAGAATAATGTATTTACTGGTGAAACTATGATCATCATAAACGAAAATTAGTGAAATGTATAATTGTATTTGTTTTCATCAATTTTTAATATCTTATTTCACTGATAGGAAAGCTTAGCATATTGCAACTGCTCTACCTATAACTTCAAAATAATCCACATCTTGATTAGCAACTGTATCAAACACTACATTTTTTAGTGATAAAAAAATGAAGCTACAATATGTAGACTGGTGAGTAAGAGAACAAAATTATTTGGATTGACAAAGCTAAATTTCCATACATACTTTATAACCATTAAGTAATTAGTTTCAGATTTATTGTCAAAAGTCACTTATGTTTGTGATTATTCTTCTACACAACATTATTAATAACTGAACAACAAAAATGAAATTGAACTTGGACAAGTCCATTCACTACAGAACTGGAAAGTTTATGTATCATATATCTTGGATCATAAAAAAGCATTGCAAAAGTACACCATAAAGGAAATTTTACTAAGCACAAAATTCTAATCACATAAAAGCCCTAAATAATGTCTTACAATAATAGGTGGTAATAGTCTTATAACTTCATAAAAAAAGAAAAAGTGTGCTGAATAAACAATTAACTTTAACAAAATATTTTGAAGAAATAAAAATTATTTCTAACTCAGTTCATAAAAAAATTGCTCCTGTTCTTCAAAACACTACTCTGTACATGAATTACATAGGAAAAAGTTGAGAGAAACACATGTGATGAACAGTCTAGGTTTAAAAAAAACTTGTCTTTTTAGTAGACCAAACAGATACTTCTGTAGATCAATGAAGACTCTTGGTAAAGTAGTTATTTCAGTAAAAACACATCTAATTATCTATTTAAAGAAAAACAATTCTCTATTTTGGTTTTCTAAGAGGTATTAGGTCAAGTAGTATTGATAAATGAATTTTTTTGGAAAAAAGTATTAACCATTCTGATCAATACAAAAATACCAGATTATTATGAAGAAATCTTATATTCTAAAAAATAAATCTGAAATAAACAAAGGATTTAATCAAAATCTTGTTCACCAAGAGCATCATTATGATAAAAAAAGACTTTCTGTCTAGCTTCAAATGGTAATTCAGTCAAAGAATTCAAGGATGTTTCCCGAGTTCTTTTCCCGGATAAGGAAGGTATAGATAGACGAGATGATCTTCTTACAGGTGTCACAATTGCCTCAACGTCAAGATTCTTGGAAATTCTGTTAATGACCAAACAAAAAATTAACTTGGTGAAATGTAAATTTTGTTTTTAATAAATTCAGAACCAGTAAGTAACAAGTTAGTTCTCCCAATTAAAAAAAAAAAAATTATGGAGATAATGATTTTAAGGAAAGGCTTAGGAACATGAAATACACATCACTATTCACAACTGCAGTATAAAAAGTCAATAATATAAAAAGACAAGCTAGAATACCTAGAAATTAATATCAAATATACAAGTCAATAAAGTAAGCAAGTTATTAAAATTTTATTTACACAGTTCCTGATTATACATAGGTTTAAATTTTGTTTTGAATAAGATTTTATGAATACGTTACAAACCCAAGAACATACCCTATAATGATTAACCATTCTTCCTGTTGAATACAGCAAGGGGATATGCACAGATTCACAAAACTATAAAGTGCTAAGTTAACCAATTCATCACATGAAACAAATTACCAAGATAATTCATGTTAATGGCAATTTACATATGAAATCTACGTAAAAGGTATCTATATCTGTAATATTAAATAAGCTATTATAATGTGTAGCACAAGTGTTAAAAAACTCAAATTAATGGGAGTAATTCCATTTTATAAACACCTTATCTGACTGGACCATCATTTATTTAATACAGGTTAGTGGAAAATAACACATCCACAGAAAATGTGAAGTTCTAATTTTTGCATTTGAGGATTCAGAATGTGTTACCTGGTACAGGTCACACATACATGCATATCAAGACTTGCATTATTTCGTTGTTTGTAAAAATGGAAGTTTGGACACTTTAAAGTGTTAATCATAGCTTTCAGATAGAGAAATCAGCCTTTTAGAAGAAACTTAAACATTTAAGTCACAGCTATTAATACTTTTCATGAGCATTATATGGTGAGGTGTTATTTTGTTTTCCTCTACTGTCTGTGTTCAATTTATTCTTCACATAACAGTCTGAACCTGCAGGACATTTGGGTTCTTTTCTTGAACATTAGTGTAGCAAAGTACCACAGACTAGTTAAAAACTACAGTAGTAGTGAGTAGTTGGTTTGAGAATATGGTAAGGTATAGGAGAAGCAACTTCAAAGCTTAAAGCTTTCACTAGCCATGGTGAGAACAATGTTAGCATTCTCAGGATCAAGAGGTTGAATAGAACTTCGCTGAGCAATCCTGGGCACCCGTAATGCAACTTTAAATGGTTACACTCTATATGCAGGAGCATAGGGCAGTAAAGGGTCATGGTAGTCTAAACATGCCGAGACTTACTGAGGTGATTTCTATGGGACTCCTAGGTGCACATGGGTAAGCTCTGACAACTGAAGATGCTGTGTAAAGTCACCCAGGACTGAAGAGAATATTGAGGTAAGCATGTTGGAAGACTTGCAGCACATTCCATCATAACAGTATAAGGTAGAGCAAGAGGCATGTCTTTATGATCCAGGAAGAGTATGGAGTTAGTCAGGAGTCTTCAAAGCACAATGACACTGTGTCTAGCAGCTGAATGCAATATGGATTGTCATTACAAAGTGTGGTATCACATGTCTTTCTGAACACAATGACATGAGAATAGCAGTGATGACAAACCATATAAGAAGTGACAATTTTCCATTTAGATGAAAATCCCAGTCCAATAGGGAACTTTGGGAAAAGCAAACAAAGGGCTAAAACTTAGCCTGGACACTACTTGCCATGTAGCAAAGTAGTACGCAGTAATCACAAACTGTAAAACATAGTACTGATTTGTGTACAATCAGCACTTGTATAGTCAGTTTTGAGTGTAGGATGGCATACTGTATACCATCATTATGAAACACTGAGAAATGGTAACCAAACATTGATACAACTGGTCTTCCCAAGTGCAATAAATTATTTGGGCTTTGCAAGAATGCAAGTACTGAAGGGTACCAGAGTGTGTCGTAAACAAATTATTGCTAATGTGTGGTTCTTTTGGCCCCCATGAAAACATTGAGTGACAGTGTAAACACTGCAGTCAGAGGAAAAACTGGCTACACCAAGGGAAACTTGGAGTTCCCCCTATGGTAAGAACCACCCTGGACATAGCTGAGCCTCTGCCATAACGGAGAGAGGAAATATGTATATGTTTGTAACTGTGATAACATCACCAAGTGGGCTGAACAATGGATTTAACATTTTGGTGCACTGGAGATATTTACATGGATAAGGAAACTCCCTTCAACAGCCGATTGTATGCATTTGGTTGTTATATGATGGTATGACTGAGAGGGTAGTTTAAACTTTTAAGCATATATTTGATATTTTTTTTTACCCTAATGAACTGATTGGGATGAGCATCTACTGTGTATGTCATGAAAGCATACTGAGTAACAATTGACAGGTTAGTTTGCAAATCTCCTAACATTTCGATGAAAAGTACAGCCTCCAGTGTCCACAGGAATATGTTGAATAGTTGCATTTTGGAATAGCTGATGTGCAGGAGTTGGCATGGCAGCAGATATGTAAAATGGCCACATGGCATAAGAGATGCTATAACAAAACAGTGATGGAATGAAAGTTCAAGGCTGGTAACTGGAGAGAGTAGTGGTACATGCCTGTAGTACAGAAACAACTTGTTTATCTTTGGACTGGTCCATATCTTTTTGTCAATGAAGTGAATTATGAGTTACAGTGATTGCATTTTGACAAGCTGAAACTTTACTTGAAAACTGGTAACTCCAGAAACCAGAGGTGAATGAGCAAGATAACTCTGCAGCAAAAGTAGAAGAGTTCTGATAGTTTTCTGAGATACCACCACTGTCTTTACTAATCATTATGGCTGGGATCAGTTGCTTAACCAGCAGCTCAGGCAGTAAATAGATTAACAAATCAATGATTGAAAGGAAATGGCATTCCTTTTTTCCAGAGTATCAAGTGGTTTTTTCACTATATGATCTATGTGCACTATATCATGTGATAGCAACTTAAACATTGTACAATTAGAACAATTATTTAGTTAATAAATTGACTGCTGAAAGAGCATTGCAACCCTTGTTTTCTGAGATATTGAGACTTTGATCTGATGTTTTGCAATGGCCACTTGATCTATCTACTTAAGTTGTAGAAGAGTTTTCGACTGCGAAACACATTGCACAAAACTCGCTAGATACAAACTAGAACAGCCGAAACAGTTGAATAAAAATTTTATAGAAAGTTATAGTTATATGCAATTGTTAATGGTTACTAGAGATTCTTAAAAATAAACTGAAAGGACTTTACAATCCTTGCTTTTCAAGTACTCAGGTGAAGTTTTATAAGGAATGTTGGCTGATGTTTAACTATAGAAACTTCCTTTAGTTGGTTGCTCTATAAACCATAGAACTATTCAGCAGTGAAACCATGTGTTACACATTATGCATGTGATTATTACATGATATGAAAACAGTAGTTCATGTGTAGCCCACACTTTTATGTATGCATTACATACAAAAAATATAATACACAGAAGAGAAAATTTATTCTAGGAAATGGAGAATTTGGCTAGAAATATTGGATGGGATACATTTGGTGAAAAACACAGTGACTGCCTTGAACTGTATTGGGTTAGTTTGTGTATACTGTATGGAGGGAAAGGGTTTATAAGGCTTGACCTCAAACTGAAATATTTGTGAGCATGCAATTTTTAGTGATGGAAGGTCACAGAGTTACTAAAAAATCTACAACACATCAAATGACAAACATAGTGAACCTACTGTTTTTATTGATGTTTGCAAAGCAATATCTGGTAGTGTTTGGTGACTGAGATATTTGTAGGTTACGTGACATATTCTTGATAGGGAACAAATAACACATATTTTTTTGAATAGTTCTGACTGAGATAAAAGTTTGCTGGTACATACCAAACTATTTCAGATTTTGAGGATATTACCAAATGTTTAGTCTCTATATTACTTCTGAACAAGGTAGTCATTACACCCAATTTTTTTTATGTTAACTACATTTAGTTTTAATATCAAACCATGTAATGTTAATTTATTTTGCCTTTGTAGTCGGAGTAACACCTATTTCAAGTTGTATTTTAGTTTCCCTTACTGGCTACTAGAGTTTTGTATGACAGTCTTAAATGCAGTGGAACTAAATCACATTTAAAGTGGTCCCCCCCCAGCATTTTAAGAAAAACATATATTAGAAGTAACTTTTAATGACCAGCTTTCATTCTAACATGGTACTGTTTGAACTTTACTTAAAAAGAAAAAAAAGAAAGAACAGGTATTAGTAAAACTATTTTTAATTAAAACTCATGCATACTCTTCTAACAGTCATTTAAGAACAAATAATTTAAATTCCCCTTACACAAGTATTAAAAACCTTCAAGTTAAAAAGGTGCAGAAAATCTTTACTGATACATTTCCTTTTCAGTGTAGGATATATTTATAGACAGGCTGACTTTACTTAAATCTTAACTAGTACTAACCAGTTATACAATAGCCAAAGAATGCTAGACAGAACTTGTAATAGAAGAACTTAACTTTACATTACTGGTAATATGGTGAAATAACAGAATATATGTTTGACAGTTAATAAAAGCTTTAAAACTACTGTATCCAATTTTTAATCATATATACTCTAGAAAAAGGAAACAGCATGAAAATACCTTTGCAACAAGGGCTTATGATGAGACAAACTATACTGAATCAAGGTAGACTCAAACACATTAGCTTTGTCTACCAAAGGCTGCCTTGGTGTGGTGGCCATTGATTTCCTCTTTTTACTTGCTGACAAATCTGTAATTAATTTTGGAGTTCCATTTAATTCTATCATATCTTCTTTTGTTGTATGTTCATTTTCTTCCTGTGAAGCAATGCGGGCCCTCAAAGAAGAAACTATTGACTTCAAATCTTCTACTGGCTGTTAAAGAAAAAGAAAGACACAAGAGAAACATATTTATACATTTTTAATAGTCCAAGTTTCCATTTACATGTACATCCAAGATCACCACTGGATCAACATATGAGCACACATAGCAAGCCAATGAAATTGGTAGAGGGTGCATTTTAGAGATGTTTGTAGAATAACACTTCAAGTACAAAATTCTAAATTTTGTTAATATGAGAATTAAATCACAATTTGTGGATGGTCTGACAAACCCATCTAATGCTTATTAACTTTTACTTTCAAAATATTTGACCATTTTGTTTGTTTTAGAGCAAAGCCACATTGGGCTATCTGCTATGTTCACCTCATGATATTTGAACCCTGGACTTTAGTGTTGTAAGTCTGTAGACTTACTGCTGTCCCACCAGGGGACTGCCAGCTTGATACTTAGATTTAAATATTACTTTTAGAAACTGCTGAGATCTATCTGGCAACTAGTTTATATTTTTGCACACATTGTTCTAGGACATATTTTTCAGTGTTGAATATCTACTAACAAAAGTAATTCCTACTTATTGCAACATACCAATATAAAATAATTCATTATCCACTTTTTTATATATACAAATCACATTTGTAGATAAAAATAGTTAATTATCATGAAAAATAAATTAATGAAGAAAACATTGAAATTCCATAAAATAATTACAGTCCAAGAAATCTATCTAATACGAAAACACCCAATAAAAAAATAAGTTATAAAAAAAAAGATATTAATATGAGCCAAGAATTTTGACATCAGCTGATGTGACAAAGAACAGTTTGAAAATCACAAACATTAACAGGTAACACCAAAATCTATTTTTATAGCCTTATGATCTACGATGCATATTGATTTATAAAATAAAGATTAAAAACTACACTTCTTTATTCAATAATAACAGTCCTACTATCAACCAAATTTGGAACACAATTTTCAAAATAAATATCATAGCTTTAAAGCATCTTTTCAAATTAAAACTCCCATTAAAAGCAAAATCTGTTATGTCAAAATAACAGATTTCATTGGGAAATTTTACAAATATTATCACTTATTTTAACAAGCAGGAAAAAGTCTTTTGAGTAAATAAAAATCTTATGTAACTTACAATGAGAATAGTAAGCTGTTGAAAGATTTTTTAAGTTGTCATTAATATAGATTTGGTCAAGGAATCCACTAACGTTTAAAGAATGTGATTTGTCTTAAGCTATAATAGTTTTGTAAACAGCTTATGATCTAAGCTTACCAAGTTTGAATGTGATCTGCTATGATAAACTTTTAATATGCAATGTTTGCCACAATTGAAAATGTAGCATCAAGGAAAAGTTTGCTAAATTGCAGCAAGATAAAGGGTTGTATGTTCATTTATAATTGAATCTTTCTATATCATCATTGATGTAGTAGGATCTAAATCTACAAATAAAGTTAGTTGACACATTTAAATAAACATACATCAAAAGATGTTCTCTAGAGGAATGAATGTGGATGTCAGTTTGTGTAAAAAAGGGATTAGCTGAATTTAATATAAAACAAAAGAAATAATAAATTAAAAACAAAATTCCAGATAAAAAACATTGATACAGAACCTATGAATAGATTGAGAATGATTACAAAAGTTATATATTCTTAAGGTAATTATACATATGGTACAGCACAAGTCTCAGAATATTGCTGTAAGCCTAGTCTTAGAATTAAATCTTGTGCAACACAAATGTCTTAAGTTTGTTTTTGTTTAAGTTAAGCACAAAGCTACAAAATGGGCTATCTGTGCTCCACCCACCAGGGGTATCAAAACCTGGTTTTTAGTGTTGTAAGTCCACAGAGATACTGCTGTGCCACTGGGGGTCAATGGTTATATTGGTGCCCAAATAGTGGTCATTCTACCCCCTGATCTGTGTGGGTGGCATACCAAACCATAAATGTTAGAAGCTTGATTTAATGCATAGTTTGTGCTACACATTTCTTTCTCGATGAGAAGAATTAAGGGCTTGTTTTATGTTGGAAAATACTATGATAGTCAGTGGAATTGTATGCTTAGGTACTACAGCCTTTTCAGCTCAGTTGGTACAGATATGACAGTGTATGAACCAAAATTCCCAGAACAGATTTTTCCTAGTGTTCTGAATCATTACAAAACTTTTAAGAATGCACTTCAGAAAGAGTAATAGGGTCAACTTAAGCATTTACTAGTGATCAGTACAGAGTTATAAAAATCATAATATTTTAAGCTTTTAACTTTTTTTATCCTTAAGACAGGGCTCAAAACTTTTAAGATTGCACTTCAGAAAGACTAATAGGGTCAACCTAAGCATTTACTAGTGATCAGTACCGAGTTATAAAAATCATAATATTTTAAGCTTTTAACTTTTTTTTATCCTTAAGACAGGGCTCATACAACTTTGACCAATGGAATTTAAAGTCCTTTTCAAGTACTTTTCAGCACTAAATTTCTCAAGGGTCACAATTATTCAGTATTTTTACTGAGTCTGAATACAGTCTGTAGCATCAGTAACTGAGAATAAATAATTGTAACAATGACATTGCACACAATAATAAATATATGTATTAAACTTCAGAGGCAGTCCATAAATATACAAAACTTTACTTGGTCACTATTATAATTAAAACAGGTCAATATTTCTTAAGAGTATCAAGTTTCACACTGAGCTCCTATTTAACAATTTTTAGTTTCACATTTTTTTCTTTAGCTGTTTTTCAAAACACCAGATGTAGTTACAAACTGAATGTTGTCACTTGCTGTACTTGGTTCTGTAGTGGCTAAGGCATTACAATCCCCACAGAATAATCAATGTTGACATTTGAAACCCAAGTGTAGTTAATTGATTATTTTTTGCACATACTTTCATAGTTTTTCGTGCTTATTTCCTTTTGAATGCAACTTCAAAGCACAGTCTATCCTACATTGGAAAGATAAATCACTTTGTTGCAATAAGATCAGATGACTTTGTACCTATCATTTTCACATGTCTTGATATAGCTAAACTGTGTCAGCCACTTTGTGTTAAATACACATTTATCAAAGTCTGAAGGTGTCAAGCATGTAAGAAGGAGGCTACCATTTGCAATATGTTTTATTTTTGTCTGGCAAATGGCAAAAAAAAACATATTACTATATATCAATGAGGACTTTTAGACATTTTCTCAAAACCTAAGAACTTTTCAGGTTAGTATTTAAACTTAAGGGCTATTAACACACTAGTCAAACTGAAGGGTGTTTCAAGTTTGTGAGGACCCTGACAGGAAAACCATGAGGTATAGAAATCATCAGGTCTATCTTGAAAAAACATATGTTCAGAAGACTAAGATTATGATTGTTATTAAAAAAAATTCAAAGTCACTGTACAAGCAAGTTAAAATCTAGAATGTATTCTTTTGGTCTCACCTCTACTCCTTTATCCAAAGCAGTGTTTAATATCTCAACAGCAGTTTCATAATCTCCCTTCTTTTCTGCAACTAGAGCTCGACATTCCCAGAACTGTACACTGTCCTCACTAGATGGTACATGTTTACAAATTTCATCTAACCAACGGCTGATGTATGATGGTGGGTGACCCTTAAAATTTTTTTTAAATAATAAATTGTTAGAAAATTTGATAATCTTATATGTCAGATATTTTCATATTATTATTTTATAATTTGAAAATGACTGTTTAGTATTTAAATAATCAAATTAATTTATAACATTTTTATTGCATTTCAAAACACAAGTTTTCTATATTTAAGTTTCAGCCTTTCCACTTGACATACTACTATGAGATAGCTTTTCAAAACTCTAACAAATACAAAAAATTAATAATATTGCTCCAGTAATGAAAGAGAAATTGTTTTACATTTGAAAGGAAGGTGGTTTCCTTACTTTGAAAAACATTAAGATTAAGGAAATTAAAATAAGTGACAATAATAAGATGATTGCCATTGAACAGTATCATCTGTAATAGTCTTCTTTTGCATTTATTAAATAAAAAGACCATAAAAACAATCTGCTGTGTGCAACAAATTTGTTATTATATATTTATTTTAATATCAACGTTTGTTTAGATTAAACTTATATTTAGAAACATACATAGCTTGTACTGTTAAATACTCCTGTCTATTCTCCAAAGTTGTAGAAGATTCTCAAGAGTAGGAATCAACAATATATGTGTGTATGTAAATACTTGTGTTAGCACCAGTATTGTTACACAAAACTGAAATTTCTAGAAACCTCTACATGCCTATAAATATAACCAATGCGACATGCCAAAAAGAGAGTATCTATTATTAGTTTGCAACAGTCAGTGTGTTATAAACTTTGGAAACTATAACCGTGATCGTTATAATGCTTATCAATTGGAAAACTTCAGATATTTGACCAGGATCATTTACAAAGTTCAAACATTACAACCCATTTAACTTCAGTGAATTCTCATTGGACATTCCTTTTTACTAAAACATTACATAACATCACGGTAGAAAACCCGGTTTGTGTGTGGCTGATAAATAATGAAGGAAAAAGCTAGCTAGCTTCCCGTTAAATTAATTATACCTACATTAACTCGCTCATCGTGAACCCTTGATAAAATATCAAGGAAGTTCCAGACCAGAAAGAAGACTTTATATTATTTGTAAGTTTGTGAAACTTTTTTTTATAAATTATTGTTTGTAATAACTATTTGTAATAATTGTTATTGTAAATTGTATTGTTGTGTATATATTAAAACGTATTTGTGTTAAAAAAGAAAACTGTGTGTATCAATCTTGTTGGTAAATATCATAAATTGAATATATATCGGCTTTTTCTTAACTGCTAAATTCAAAGTATAATTTAACTACTAAATTTAAAATATCATATCTCTCATAACTCAAATAATTTTGCTGATAAAAATATGATATACACATACTTAGATCTCAGAGACTATTGTTAAATAACTTGATCAGAATATAAAAAAGCCAACAATTATAGTAAGATCCCACTTTAAGCTGACTCGTTACAGAGATCTTGTCTAATTGAGATTTTTTTTTTCACAAGAAAGAAAAAAAACAATTATGAAAATCCATAGCTCTCTGAACACTTCTTTTTCATACTAATGGTAGGAGTGCACTGAATAAAAATAATGGAACAAAGAACAGAATGATAACATGCAAAAAGCAGACAATGCCCCGTAACTATCAAAATTTATCTGGCATTTCTAGCATACCAAAATAATGCACTTGTACATCATTCACAAGTAAGAAACAATGCCTTCAGTTACACATCTCCATACAGGTAATTTTAAAATGACCATGTTTAGAGCTCTATTCTTGAGTGCTAAATGAGGTATTACTGTACTTTCTTTTTCCACCACATGAAGACAAGATTCAAATGACACAAGTTCAGTTCAATAGATGCTAGATAATAAATCCACATCTCTTCTGACTGAAGACTCACCTCTTCCAATAATGATTTTAATTCTGTTAGAGTTTTTTCCACACTAACATCAACAACTGACTTCATTGGAGTTCTTGGCTAAAAAAGTTATTAAAGAATTATTAGACAAACACACTAACATCAATGACTGATACACCAGTGTTAGATATACACAATTGTTCATTTTAATTTTAACCCTTTTCACACGGGTCAAAGGCCATGTCGTGTTTGTTGACTCGCGTTCAAAATTTTATTGAACTACTATTTTATGAATTTCTGTCATTAAATTGTAGATTATAATTCAAATTTTAGTATTATTTATTACTTAATTTAAAAGCAAATATTAAAAAACACGTGGTATGTTGAATGGAGCACTGGTTTAAATTAGATGGCTGTGATGTCAAAATACAAATTATATAGTTTTGTACAAATTAGGAACTCAAATTACTGATATTGACAATCTAGTATACAAAATAAGAACCTCTTATCTTTTCTATTTGCAAAGATTTTTTTCATGTTATAAATCAAACACAGTGGCACCCTGCTCACCTTTTTCCATTTTTGGAATGGTCCCTTATATATAAATATAGTTCTATGTATGACATGTGATTAACCAATAGAAAGCTCAGAATATCTCTCTAGTGGCTTTTTCAGCCATTTTAAAGTGTTAGGACACCATCTCCTCCTTTCAAACAAAGATTTCAAGGAGGTAGGTTGGGTCTTTAGTCTGCGCGAAATTTTATATTTTTTTAGACCAAATACAGCGTAGTTATAAGCTTGATAAATTATAGTGGAATTCTATGGTATAGATATAGTAATTTATGATTTTTTGGTTATTAAAATGTATATATATAAAACCTACAAAAAATTATTTCGTTTTACATCCTCGATGTGCAAAATTTCTTAAGGCTTAGCAAGCTACAACAAGAAGCAACCGAGTACAAAGGTCGGAACTGGAAGAGATAATACTTTGCTTTACTTCTTTATTTACTGTTCTATGTTTTTTGAAAAATAAGTTTAAGAAGTTATTTGTAATAGTAATAATATATATATATATATATATATAT